TCTCCAGCCCATCCCCCTGTGGTAAGGTCTTAACCAGAGCTCCGATAGCCCCTGGCACAGAGGACACCCACCCTAAGCATCTGCTCTTACAGATATAAACCATAAATAGGGACAATCTGTGCTCTTTGGCTCTCTCTGCTGGCTGCAGTGAACCCCATTCCTGGGCTTGTGCTCAGCAATGTCCCCCCACATTGCACCCTTTGGGGAACAGGCTGTCGTGGGGAGCAGAGACACAGGGAAAGGAATACTGTATTTGAGCCTCTGGGAAGAATCACAAACCCTGACAAGCACCAGAAGTAAAACAGGGAAGAAAAGAAGTGGCAGTGAAGATTTACAAAAGAGTCTTGCAAATGTGACAGCCAATTTCCAGGACGATCCTTTTTCTTCCTTAAACCTCAGTCCTGAGCAAAAGGAGATATTTTCCTTGAAGGGAGAACAAAGCTGTGTAAGGGATCAAACGCTCTACCTCGGGATACAGCAGCACCAGGCTTATTTCCAGGTGGAGAGGGATTCACCAACTTCTCCTCTGTGCCCAGGGGAATCTCCTAACAAGGGTTGAGGGATGAGCAAAGGGAGGGCGGGTGAGCATCTCTCGGATCACCTCCCAGGAATGCTTTGCCAGGGCTGGAGGCCAGGAGTGTTTCCTCCCTCCGCACAGAGGAGCTCAGCAGGCTGTCAGCAGCAAGAGACAATTGCCTGGAGGGGGAGGCAGGCAATGGAGAGAGGTGGGAGGGATGCTCTGCTGTTGTGTGCGGGACCAAGTCCCTCTCTCACTGGTCCAGCAGCCAGAGAGAGTTTGATGAGCAAACTGTGAGTTTCAATGAATCATTTTATGCTTTGTCAGGGAATCTCCCCATAGGAAGTACTGGGGACCTTCATTAAATTAGTTTTTTTAACTGAATGACCAGGTGGGTTTCTGTGTCAGATGATGCTGGAAATATAGTTGACAGCACATTGTACTATACGTATGAGAAAAAACAAGCTTGGTGATTTTCTGGTGATATTTTTTGTGTTCTACAAGTTTTTTATGGGATAAGTCTCCTGAGACTGCCATCTGAAAAGTCTTCTGAGGTACTCACAGCACCTGGCCAAAACACTATCCTTGGAAGTGCAATTAGGTGTTAATAAAAAGTAACAAATAATTCCCTAATAAAACAAAGGAGAAGACAATGCTCAGTGTGAGTTTTATTCCATTATTCTCGTGAGAAGCTGTCAAAGAGTCAGAAGGTATTTAGAGAGCAGAGTACAGGCTGTTCCTTCATCATAATAACTTTTATTGCCTAGGTATAGTTTTTCTCACCCTGGTCAATAAATATTCTGCTGCTTTTCTTTCAGAGAATTAGGACTTGGTTGCAGCAGTGAGTGCTTCTTTCCAAATGCCTGGTGCTGACCTACATGGGGTCTGGGGTTGCTCTGGTGCTCCCTAGAGGTGCTGGGACTTTAGGCAGGATGAAAGGGAAGAAGATTCCTGTGGTGAGAACAGGGTTCTGGGAATCTGAGATGCTCCCGGTGTCTGCGGCGGAGTGATGGTATAATGCTTGCCAGGAGACACAGAGGCAGAGTAAAGGCAGAGGCAGCACAGAGCATCGCACAGGCTCTTCTGGGTGAAGGGTAGTTGTGCCCATGGGTCCAGGCTCTTGGTCTTTTCTGTCGAGCCTAAAGGAGTTAGCTGGTGCCAGAGTGGACCGAGGCTATGAAATATGGATCCCACAAGTATTTCTTTTGTATCACAGCTAGGATTGTTTCAAGCTATCTGTCACCAACAAGCCTTCTGGGCCAAGGAAGACTTGCCTTTTTTACCGATTTGGGCTGCACATTAAAAAATTCCTGGCCTGCTTGCTAGAGTGAATGACCCCCGCTGGCATCGTTAGTTGGAGAGTTTGCTGCTGGGGATGGCTGAGAAGCTCATCACTGACTTCCCATCGGGGGATGTATGTTTCCAGGCCTTATACAAACTTCTCTGGTTTTCATTAAAAGCAACTCTTCAGACAGCAGTTTCAAGACCTTTTATGTGGTTCCTCATGGACATTTCCCTGCACTGCCTCAGATGAATCACTGGCTGAAGGTACCTGCTGGAATGGGGGTCAGCCCATGACACCAAGTGCAAGAGGAGAGATGAATCAGCTGTGTGTGGATCATCAGCCCCTGACCTCCCCCAGGCCCGTGCTGAGGCTGCTCCTCTGTGGAGCCTCAGTTCTGAGCTTCAGAGAACACTGCTTGAAAAGCTCTCACAAAAACTGCTCTCCCCTTTGGCAGCTCTGGCCCGTGGGAGCTGACCATACCTATGTGCTCATCCCAGATTCAGCGCTGACCAGCAGGAGTCTTCCCAGCCCAGGACACTGTTTCATGTCTGCGTGGCCAGTGATTCAATATAGTAATTTAATCTCTTTACCCCGTAATTCCCACCTATCAAAGAGAAACAATAAATATTTCTTTGTCTTTCTAGTCTTTTTAGCTCAGCAGGGCAAGACCATCTCATGCATTGTGTTTGTATGGCTCCCAGCACCTGGGATTTCTGGCGCTGCTGCAGTGCAGTTACATGTGGTGATACTGTATTTAATGCCCTGGGAGCAGTCTACCCAGACTCCAGGAGCTCCTGAGTTGATAGAAGGAGCAGGTTTGTCTTTCTGCCTCTGAGCTGAGGACATTCGCACATGCCTTCACCAGTATATCTTCATTAAGCTTCACAGAAGCTGTCGTGACGTGACACCAGCTGTATTGCTGAAACAGGCTGGTGTAGCCTGTGAATCACTCTGTCTTTAATTCCTGCTTGTGCTTGAGGATCATCTACATCCCTATTTGTGATGAGATTCACTCCAGTAATTGCCAGGATTAAACTCCCTTCAGAAGCACTGGCTGAGCATAGTGACCAAGAGGAAAAACCTCAGGCGAGTAGTGGTCTATTTATATCCCATGAAAGACAGACTCGGTGCCTAAGAATATTCAAGCCCCTGGCACTTCCACCTCCTTTCTGTTCCTGTAGCTGCTGTCTTGAGACTGTCTCCGCATTGAAGAATTAGCTGCTTTTTGAAAGCTAAGTGGAACCTCAGTCAAGACAGGAGCAAGCGGCCAGTGATGGGGAGGTTGGTGCTTTACTGAATCCCAGAAAATCTGCTCCCTTGACGATGCAGAGAAGCAAAGGAATCAGATATGAGCTAGGGCCATTGCTCTCTCTTCAGAGAGTCTGTCTCCACTCTTTCAAATGAGGTCCTGTCTGCCTTTAGGGTTGAGAATGATCTGCTTTACCTGTACTTCTCAAATGTCTTTTTGGAGGCTTCCCTGCCAACAGTGCCAGCCCTGCCCCTCTCCCAGCGGTGAGTTAATCCTGCATCCTCCACAGCTGCACCAGTTGCAGAAATCCAGAGGGTGAAAAAAGGTGCCCGGTGAGCCAGGGCTCTCCTCCTGTCCCCCCAAAGCACCGAGAGGATTGCCGTTCCGTGCCCAGTCTGTGGCGCACCCAGCTCGGGTAAAGGGGGCAGACCCCTTACCCCCACCACGCTGCATGTAGGGCAGTGGAGGCTGAGGACCGTCCGTTTCCCCAGGTCACAGCAGAAAATCTATCCCTCTTACAAGGGAGGAGGAGAGGAGGCTCCCAGAAGCCAGGGAGATGCAGGATCATGTCACAGCAAGGCTTCTCCATCCGGGTGCAGGATCCAGCTTCGCTGGCAGCAGCCAAGCAGGGAGCAAGCAGCTCTTAACCCTGCCTGCAGCACAGGCAGCACCCGCGGCTGCCCTGCTCCAGGGAGGTAGGGCAGCATCCAGTCCTGCCTCTGGGCTCGGAGGGGCCCATGTCAGCAGCTCCCCTCCCCGTGTGCATCCCGCGCTGCCCTCCCCGTTGCCAGTCGGCTGTGGAACAGCCCAGACAAGTCCTGCACTGAGAATGTGGCTGGGATTTCACATTGGCACTGCTGTAGTTCCCAGGGATCCACCTGCCCCCAAGTCTAATCTAACAAAGCCCTGCCCGCAGGGAAAGGAGGCGCAGACCAACAATAAAGGCAAGGGCCCACAGGCCATCAGGAACGATGCCCACAGAGAGCTATGCACAGCACAGGCCAGAGGCAATTTAACATGCCCTCAGCTGGGGAATCCGCCTCCACCAGGGTCATGCTCAGCCCTCCACCCATGAGCATCTCCAAGATCCCCTATTTTTCAGCTTTCCTTCACATATGATGGCTACAAAATATTTGTTACCTTTAATGCTGAATGATGAATTTCTCATCAAAGTGACAGCTGTGCTCCATGCAGGATGTAAGCTCTACAGCTCCAACTCGCCCACGAATGCATGCCACAAACCAGAGCAGCCAGAAAGGGAAGAGACTGCAAAACCCCAAAGAATATCTCTTCCATTGAGAGAAAAATGTCTTTTTTTCCCGATGCTATATTTTACTCTACTAAACCTTTAAATATACTTCTAATGATGATGTAGTGGGAAGAAAAACTGCTATAACCAGTTTATTAGATTGACAGCGGCTGATGGCATGGGGTTAACATCTCAGTTTTACAGGGATGTGAAACTTCCCCCTGTGCAGAACAAAAGAAAACTTTCCAAAGGAGAGGATGTTGCAAGGCATAAAATATGCCAGGTAAGAACACATATTAGTGTTTGTGGATGAGGAGGGGATGAGGTATGTGTGGGGTAAACTTGCACTGTGAAAGACTTTTATGATCCCCATCGCTTGGAATACACATCTGTGATTTACAGTGATGCCTCTGGAGATTGGGTTGAAACCCTCTAGACTGACTGAAGTGCCAGTGCTGTGGATTTGACTCAGCCACAGTTACAGGGATTTGATATCTAAAATACCACCGTGTCTTTAGGTGCTTTAGAAAGACCACAGCAAAAAAAAAGGCCAACAAATATTTTAAGAGATACTGTGTGTGCACACATACACATACATGCGGATGCTGTTTGCTGCTGCTGCCTTGTGACAGGCGGCATTTTGAAGACAAACAGCCTGAGAAATGTCTTGGGTTTTCTCATTGACCACCAAGTCTCAGCATCACCGTTTGAAACATAAACTTTATTGCAACGAAGAATTAAAAATAGTACATCTGAAGTAGTTGCAGAGTGCATGTCATTAAAGAACTAGTCAGAAATCACAACTCAGGCAAATCGTGTACAATTGGAACAGAAAGTTTTATTAAAACAACTGGAAATCAAACTCAAATTTTCCTTGTTTGTTTAATTTCACCATAACCGTGGATTGTGTATTTACAGTCTTCGCCTCTTGTGGTGAAGGTTCTGCTCAGGGCGGGGGGCTAGGAAGAAGGCAGGGATGGATGGGGAGGAGAGGTGGGTTTCAAAAGCTAACAGGATGTGAAAGTTTTCCAGAAGAAGTTCTTGCAGCCCGCTTTGCGTTCCCGGGGCGCCAGAGCAGGGTTTGAGTTAGCCGAGCGCTCCAGCTCCAGTCTCACTTCATCCTGCTCAGCCCCTCGGGACAAGTCCTCAGACTCCAGGGCTTCATTTTCTGTCTGGCTTGGCTCTGAGAGCAGTTCTGCCAAAAAGTACTTGGCCAGTTCCTTGGGGGAGAAGAAAGAGAAAGAGAGAGAGAAAGACCACAATTACTCCTTGGTTTTGGGGGTTCACTGCTGTGTCCCTCTAAGACAGCTTTGTGCCCAGATTAGAGACAGGCAGGACTCTGGAGGAGAAGGGGAGCTGTGGCTATCTAAAGAGCCCAGCCCGACATCTGCTGCGCAGCAGCTGTGCCCACGAAATAAAGCGGAGTGGAAGAGCACCAACATCTACCTGGTGTGGGGAAGAGATGGCGGTCCTGGCTATGGCAGGGAATGAACTCATCTGAGCACCACATCACCTCCCCTTCCCTTGCCACCTCCAGCACACCGCGCTGGACTCAGCGAGGATGCTGTGAGGCTGCTGCTCAAGTGCCACAGGAAGGGTCTTTGGGGGAACTCGCAGCAGAGGCTGATTCGGGTCACCCTCCCACTGGGGGCTATTTCTCCTTGTGTCCCTCCAAGCCCTGACTGCCCCCTTCATGGCTAAGGACATCCTCCTGCTGTTCCGGGGTGGCTGTCTTGGTTCAGCGCCCCAGAGAAGCCCTGGAGAGCTTCACCAGGGGCTCTGTCCTCTGCCCTGGCAGCGGCTGCTCCTCATGGCCAGCAGCGCCCAGCTGGGCTGGGCTGGGGGAGGCTGTCTCCCCTTCCCTTTCCCGGCTGCCCAGCCTGTCACTGGCTCATCCCAGCAGAGAACTGGGGGGAACCTGTCAGAGAACTGGGGTCTGCAGTAAGAAACCGGGGGTCTGAAAGGGGGACACTGGGGAGGTCCGGTGAGGAACTGGTCTGCTCTGAGGGTACTGGGGTATCCAGTGGGAAACTGGAGGGGTCTGCAGCAGGGAAGCGGAGGGTATGCAACGGGGGTGCCAGGGGCTTTGCTGGGGAAACGCAGGGTCTGCAACGGGGAATCAGGGGGGTCTCTGGAGGAGAAGCGGGGGTCTGCAGCTGAGAAGTGGGGGTCTGCAGCAGGGCCGTCGGGGTGCCCAGCGGGGTGTTCGAGGGGTGCCCGGGGTGGCCGCCCCGTCGCGGGGGTCTCAC